CTACAGGAAGCCACGACCACGTGTCACAGCAGGGAAAATGGCCGCGGGGCATGTTTGTCACCCGATGCGGAGTTCGCGAACGGAAGCAAAATTTTGCAAACGGTGCTGTTCGTGAACCGAATTGTTCATGAACAGAAGCGTTCGTGAACCGAGGTATTACTGTACATCAATGGCAAAACACTACAAGCAATGTGCTTGTACTCTGATAAAATGTTTACCATAGATGGGGAAATTAAGGAAGTTTAAGATGTGCAAATGCTGGTGGAAAGACAGTAGGTAATGTGTGGCCTGCAAATGCTGATAAACTATCATGGGGACTGTGTGGTTGTATATGAGTGTACTTTTGCTCATTATAAAATACAGAAGTGGGAAGTGAATATGTCAAGAGAAGCATAAACATAGCTGCATACAGGTTGGGATAAAACAAAAAACAGGGTCAGGAATGAATGTGGATCAAATATACAAAATGAGTCATCAGTACAAAAGAATACACTGAGAGGGGTTGTACAAGGATGAATGAGGATTTCACTGGGAAATCACATTTTGCCCTTCAAATCTGGATTGCTGCAGTTTCACTAACAGCCACTTTACAGATCTAGTTCATACCTGCGCGTTTGCCAAACATACCAAGATATGCATTTCTTCTGAATTCTCACCTCCTCCCCTGATCTCTTACAGATGGCCTCTATCTGCAACTCCACTGGGTTGGACCTGGGAATCAGACTATGCAGAAATTAGACTTCTCCCCCCGCACAGATATCTTTTCTAGATTAACATCACCCCTTGGGTTCTAGAACCCTATATATGAGCTATAAAGCCAGCTATAGGGGCCCACTCTCTTCCTCTTACCACCATCCTTTGTAACCACTAGTTATTGATGGCTCTGGCTTGCTGAATGGCAAGCCAGATAGAGTAAAATGGTTAAAAAAGAAAAATGCAATATATGACACCCCACCCTAATTCTAACCTCAAAGGGAACAAATATTTAAATGATCCCTTTGGAGTAACCAAATCTTAGTGGTCTCCCAAAAACAAAGCAGGGGTGGAACTATTCTGATCTGAAGGGGTATGCAGTTCCAGAGAATTGGGGGTGGCAATGGAGAAGACCCATAGTCCTTGATGGCAACAATCCCACTCCTTCAGATCTTACCAGACAGGCAGAAAGTCCTTAAGCTTTTCACGAAAATTCTACAGAGAATCATATCCTTGCGTCATTTCAATTAAGTCTTACTGCCTATGAAAACACTATATAAGTAGTCCCCAGGTTAAGAATGCCCAGTTTAAGGATGACCCACAGTTAAGAATGGGGCCTATTGTAGCAAAATTTAAGTTAAATACACAATGATTTGAGTTAAATACACAACGGTATGAGTTAATAACACAATACTACTTATACAGTATTATACAATAATACTGTTCTGGCTTACATACAAATTCAATTTAAGGGCAGGTTTGGGAATGGAACCCATTCTTAAAATGGGGACTATCTGTATTGGGCATTTCAGCCCAAGAAAGCACTTATATTGTAGGTAGCTGGAGATATGAGATGATATCTTGAGGGAATACCTCAAGCTTGGGGATGATTCTATGGGACAGAAGCCCCATAGAGGCCTTCTGCCTTCAGCCTCAGATTTTTCATCTTCTTGGACTCTCCTTTCCCTTTTTAGTAATGTTTTTAACTGATGTTTTGTGTATTTATATATATTTATGTTTTTAATGTTTGTTGTGAGTCTCCCAGAGTTTGCCCATTGGGGGGAGATGGTCGGTTGAAAAATTTAATAAATAAATAAAATAAATAAATATCTAAAATCCCATAATTCTCAGGATCATTTAGAACTGAATCATAATCTAGAGCAGACACCAAGCTGATATTCAAAAACTTGAGCAGTACAGTACAAATTGGCTGCTTTCATTCAATACAAGTAGTCCTCATTTAGCGACCACAACTGGGACCAGCAACTTGACCATTAAGTGAAGCTGTCACTAAGTGAAACCCCGGCTATGCTTATGGTCTTACTTCAGCTTTCCTTTGCTTTACAGACCTGCGAAGGTCATAAATGTGAGGATTGGTCATACAGTTTCTTTTTCATCACTGTCATAACTGCAAATGGTCACTAAATGAGGCAGTCACTAAACAAGGGTTACCTGTAGATGAAAGTTCAGCAGAACTATTTTTAACTTTCACTCTTCACACAGATGGTCTTAATATAAACATTGATTCTCTGCTCAGAGTTTTTACATTTACACAACAATTAGAGTTTATCACTGTGTTTCCGTTTATTATGAGCCTGAACTACGGTTTCTTTTAAAAGAGTGTCTCCAAAGACTGTTTAGAATAATCCCAAAGTCTTCAGAAAACACAAAAATGTGGGTAAAAAAAAAAGTTCTGAAAATTCAATTTTGGTATTCAGCACCTGATTATACTTACATCTGATATTACAGAAAGGCAGCATGATACCCACAGGCACAAAAACATCTTAACGCACTTCCATTAGCACCTGCCAGGCTTTCTTATAATCATATAATTAAAAAGAAATAAATGGAACATTGGCATTCTGCAAAGCAAAGCACCAGTCTTCTCTAGCAATATCCTTATCTACAAGCATATCTCTAGACTACCTGTATATCAGTATTCTCAGAAAATAAAAAAGTGGGTGGCTACATTCAAGTGCTTTGTTGGTAAGTGTGTCCACCAATCTAGAAAAAAAATTGGCAAGCTGAGAGGTAGTACATGAGCAAGGAACAGGAGCAATTCCCATCAGGTCTGGCGGAAGAGATATGTTGTGGGTCCCGTCTGCTAAGGAGTTACATCTGATGGGACCCAAGAGACAAGCCTTTTCTGCTGTGGTACCCACCTGGGGAACATCATCCCTCCCCAAGGTGAGATTGGCCCCTCTCTGCCAACCTTCCGGAAGTCCCTTAAAACCTGGTTGTGTCAACAGGCCTGGGAGTCCCAAAGGAATGGTAACCTAATGAGGTGGCTCCATTGGTCATAATTTGTTACTCTCTCTTAGCCCTTTCATGATAATATTAATTTCTGTATTTTTGTATATTTTTAAAATTGTTTTTTATGGTCTGTTTGTATGCCGCTCAGAGTCACATCAAGTGAGATGGGTGGCAATATAAATATGATGAATAAACAAACAAACTTCCCCAGCTTTTCTTCTGGTAAAATGAGTATTTTGTGATTTACCACATTTGCTATGACAGCCACTTTATGATTTATGGCCATCTTTTTGCAGTATGTTTTGCACAAAGAAAAAAAAATCAACTTCTTTGCCAATCAAGTTTAAAACATGGGGTGTGTGTAAGCTGTTAAAATTAATTACATTTGCATAATTGTTCCCTCTTACTCCATATATAATTTTTTGGGTGTATCATCTGAGCAGCTGAATTATACTGAGAGACAACATAAAACCTAGGGTACTTAAAGACATGTTAAAAGATATCCATCTGCAAAATGTTAGAAGAAAATAGTATTTTTACAGCATTCCAAATATCCTAATGTGTCATAACACAATTTTTGCCTTCAACAGTCAAATGATGAGGGCATTATTTCAGGAAAAGAAAAAAAGGAAAACAAAGTGGTAATCTGGAAGGAATCCACCAACTATAAACCTACTCCTTCCAAGTCATGATGTACAATCTAAAGGGCTCTGAATAGTCTGAAGATAAGGTAAGAAATGTTTAGCAAAGAAGAGAAAGAATTTTGCTTATTTGAATGAAAATCCCAGGAACTTGAAACTGTGAAAGAGATTATTCTTAAATGGCTGGTCTGTGTGATTTATCATCAAACTCTTCCATTCACTGCAGCGAGGAAGACATCAAATTACCATCCTACTCCACACTGTACTATTAAAATTCATGATTAAACAGCTTACCTAGCCCTACATGTCAACTACCTTAGTATGGAACAGTAGTAGAATCATAGTAGCAGGATCATATCAGACATCTGTGGTTCATCTAAGATGAGCTCAATTGTCTTGTAATATGGGACAGAGAGAAAGGAACTTCTAAAGTGTTTCTCTATAGGATCTGGAACATTCTGAAAATTATTTGGAAGAAGTGCTTCAGAACTTGCATGAGTATAGCACTTCTCTCCTATTCATTGAAGCATCATCTTTTATTCGGGTTTCCATGTAGGCCTGAAAAACAATGTGGCTCTTTAAGGAGTCAAATTAAAATTAATGCAACTCTTAAAGCAGCCAGTTTTCAGGGATTCGTGGAAGCAGAAGACTGCTTTAATTAATAAGACAGAAGAGTTTTACTCATAGAGTTAGTCCTTGCTTACCAACTACTTGAAGTTACTATGATGCTGAAAAAGATTTACGATTGGTCCTTACAGTTATGGCCATAGCAGCATTCCCGCAGTCACTTGATTGCAATTCGGCTGCTTGGCAACCAGTGCGCATTTATGATGGTCATAGTGTTCTACGGTCACACGATTGCCATTTGCAACCCTCACAGCCAGCCTCTGACAAGCAAAGTCAATGGAGAAGCTGGCAAGAAGTCACAAGTCGCAGTCACATGATGTCGCACATAACAACTGTGGGTGATTCACTTAACGACCACAGCCGGAACTAATGTAGCAATTCAGCACAGTCATGTGACATTTCACTTTATGACTGTGTTGCTTAGCGACAGAGTAGACGCTCCCAACTGCAGTCAGTGAAGACTACTTGTATGTATGTTCTGAAGCATTTCTTCCAAATCTGTCTCAAAATGTGCACAACCATATTTGTTAGTACCCTGCTGTTCTAAAACTTTAATGGACAATCTCTGTGTGAGAAGGCCTAAGCTTTAATACTGTTTGGAAAAAGCTAGAAAAGTCAGCTGCAGCAGAGTAATGATTAATTGATGGATCATGAAATTTCTCAGAATTATAAGAATCTGTCGTTTAATCTGATCCATAAAAAGGCTTACATTGTTCCTTCATGCAGAAGAAATCTTGATTATCCTGCATGTTTGGCAAAGTACTTAGTTACAAACACATCAAGAGGAAGCACCTGGACTATTTGACTTATTAATAGCCCTAAGCACGACCAAATCGAAATTCCCAAAGGTGTCACATATTTTCAAAATGCTATGTAGCTAAGTTTCTTCTCTCACGTATCCTAACCTTGCCTCCCTTTTATAAGCAGGATGCCTCGTTGTTCTCTTTTCTAAAACCCATTTAGGAATCACAAATCATACTTTTTCACTTTTCATTCTGGCTTGAGCTAATCTCAGGCCACAAAAGGAAACCAAAGTGATCCAGCACAGCCCACGGCTTTGCAATTCTTTGTGAGAGCTTCACATAAGAAAAAAGGCCAGTGCCCAGACAGAATGCAGAAAATCACTAAAGCACAGAAGCCACAGGAGGCAGCAATGCTTTCTGTCCCTAGGAAAAAATCCTGTTGGAGATATGATTAACTCCTGCCGCCCACTACTCTTTGAAGAGACAATCAGCATAAAGAAACTCACTTAGCTGAAAAACAATTTCGCTTGGCAAGTTTGAAGGAAATAGCACCAGGGGAAGTCAACAGATAAGGTGGATGGATGGAATCAGGGAGATCACTGGCATGCCCTTAGAAGAGCTACAGATTTTTTCTGAACTCGGGCCCCAATGTCAGACATTTGCCCATACAATCATCAGAAGTCAAGCCCAACTCAGAGGCACTTTAAGCAGCTGACCATCACGACTCTTACTTTAGCTGTCAACATTTCTCAGTAGGTCTTTATAATCAAAATCTCAAACAGCCAAAGCTGTTCCAACCTTACCCAAGCCATATTCATACATATATTTACTATTATGACTTGTATTACTTAACACTCATTTTCTTTATGACCTAACCACTTCCATATTCTTTTGACTGTTAATCTCCACAACAGAAATAATTTGCTATTCCTCAAAAACCATTTAAGCACTTTAATTCTTGTGTACTTCACATGAGACTGCAAAGAGACTGCTGTATGAAAAAACCACCAAGACTGGTTTACTGCCAATATCTACATATCCTTTAGTGCACGTACCTAAGAACATGGTCTCAAGTTTGTATTATTCCCATGATCACATGTGAATCTTCCAACTTGTACTTTTCTATTATGCTATTAGCTTGGCTTCTAACTTGTTTTCCTGGAACTTGACCAATATCATCCACTCAAGGAAGAAATTCTGTCAAATATTTCCAAACCAACCATCTCATCATGGAAACATCTCAACTCATTTTCTGGGTTGAAAAAAAATTGGGCATGTTGTTTTTTAACTGCCAAGTAAAGGTAGTTCTGACAAGCATACTGAAACTGAATTTTCCATTCTAGCAGTTACTTCATCCCGCAGTCTTAAACTTGTTATGACTTTCCTGCAACTTGATCAATTTTACAGACTTGAAGTCAATTTTTGTGGACATTTGAGGAAAATACTTCCTAAATATCATTCCACTTCTGTGAATCAAATGGAAAGAAAAGGTAGTATTACTAAGTAAAATCAGATCATAACTTCCATATGCTCAACGTGATTACAAGGCAATTCAGTCCCTGAGTGGTTATACTCATTTTTTAATAACTGTCATGTTCAAGAGCCCACTAAATCATCCTCAACAGGTGGCCACTCAATCCCCATTTAAAAGTCTCCAGCAAAGGGAAGAACAGCACTGTCTGAAGCAGACTGTTCCAGGATCAGCAGCTTCTTCAGCCTGAATCTTTCTTTTAATTTCAGTTGGTTAATCCTCCTGCTTTCTTTGGTTTCAACAGAGAACACATCCACTCACTCTGCATGCACCAGCCTTTTAGATATTTGTAGACATCTCTCCCCGAGCCTTCTCTTCTGCAACAAAAACATACCCAGCTCCTTGACCCACTCCTCACACAGCCTGGCTTCCAGCCTCCGTAACATTCTGGGAGCTCCGAACGGGTTCCTTTCAAAGTCAGTGCCCGAAGAACATGCCCTGAGCACTAACCAACGCAGCAGCATAGAATGCAACAATTACCTCCGCTGATCTGGATGCAATGCTTCTGCCGATGCCCTGCAACGCCGCACTGGCTTTTTGAGCCGTTGCATCACTCTTTCGTCACATTCACCCTACGATCCACTAAGACTCCTAAATCCTCTCACGTGCCCTGCCTCTGAAACAGGCTTCCCCTGAGACCAGTCAACTAAGCATTTGCAAGGCATTTCAGGTATTTTCGTTTAAACAGGACCAAGGCTTCTCCTTCCAGTTTAAACAAAAATGCAACTCTGCACATCAAAGCTTAAGCAAATACGAGCAGGTGCCTATTGCTTCCACCTGCAATTTGTCTTCCACTTTCTGATACATTATGGGAAGACCCGGCTCTCTGGAAAAGGCCCTGATGCTGGGAAAGGTGGAAGGAAAGAGAAGGTGACCAGCAGCCGGGGGTCGTTATAGTAGTGATGAGTGTGCACCGTAGGAAGAGCTGAAGGGCCAGGTTCAGGGAGAGATCCTCCTGGAGAAAACCCATCGATGTAGTCGCTAAGGGTCGACCACGACTTGATGGCACAGAATTAATCAAGCAATTGCACGAATGGGGGCCTCATGATCCTGAACGGGGCGCTGCGGGTGGTATGTATCAAGATGACGAAGGCTACGTGGATATCGGGGACGAGTCCGGGAAGCCGCCAGGAGCCCACCCTGACTCGCAGGTACACACACACACGCACACGCAACTCACACACAAGCCAGGCTGTTGCGGTGCAATTCTCCTCGCTCCTTTACCCCGCTTCCCCGGCAGCCCCGCTGACTCGCCCACCCGCCTTTCCCCCTCTGGGCTTACCAGACCCACGCGGGAGCCCAGCAGCCATCCGCCCCCAAGCCCCCGGATCGTCTGCCGGCGGGGGACGCAAGGCAGAGCAGCTGCCCGGGGCAAGGACGGGAGGCGCGGCGTCCTCGCTCCGGAGGAGGGGCAAGGCAGCGTGGCACGGAAGAGAGGAAGCCGGAGGGGCGGGCGGCGCCCTCCCCTTCGCTGCCCGCCCGAGCGGCTCCCCCAGCCCGGCCCGGCCCGGCCCTACCGTCGGGCCGAAGGACCCGCGGGGCTGTTTCGCCCTCCCGCCAGCGAGCGGCGCTGTGGGGCCTTTCCTCCCTCAGACTCGAGCCGGCGCTCCGCAGCCCTCACCGCCGGCCTTCCCCCGGCTCCTGACGGGGGCGCCGTGGCTGCTCGTTCTCCACCCCGGCCTGCGACTCACCCGTGCGGCCGTGACGGTGCGGAAGGCGGCGGCGGCGACGCGCCTCAGGAAGCATCGCGCTCGAGACGGCACCCGGCGGGGCAGCGCGAGCCAAAACAACCGGCGGGGCGGGGCTTGTCGCGGCCCCTTATTGGGCGCCCCCTCATTGGGCCGCGTGATCCCGCCCTCACTTTCCCGGCTTCCTCGTCCGTCCGCCATGACACCAGAGGCACGGCTTCTGCCCCGGGCGATTCTGCTGGCACGCCTGCGCGGCGGAGCGCCCCAACAGCTGCGGAGGAAGCTGGAGGGATATCGGCGGGGCTTTGCTTTTGGGGGTTTCTTCCGGGACGGAAGAAGATGTCCCGCTGAAGTGGGGAGTAAATTATGAATAAGTTTGAAACGGCTTCATCATGGAGAAAATGTATCTAGGTTAGGGTTTTCCAAAGTTGGCGACGTGAAGACGGGTGGACTTCAACCCCCAGAATTCCCCAGCCAGCGATGCTGGCTGGGGGATTCTTGGAGGTTGAGTCCACCCGGCTTCAAGTGGCCCAAGGTTGGAAACAATTGGTTAAATTAACTTCACCCAGCCAGTCATATCATGGGAACTGTAGGCTGTGCGTTTAATTAATTGTAGACCTTTTTTTCTGGAAAAGAAAACTCGGGAAAAATCCTTCCAGTTACGGATTGAACCTATCACAAGTACCTTGGATGCTGGTGGACTAGAAACACTTCAAATATATT